TAAAAACTTCCGAATTACGCATTCGATCAAAAACCCGACCAAAACACCTCCGAATGACCTGAAATTTTGCACACATATCCAAAATCACCTAACGGAGCTACTGCAACTCTCGGAATTCCATTCCGACCCTCGGATCAAAATCTCACCTATCCACCGGAATTCGCCAAAATGCCAACTTTGCCAATTCAAGCCTAATTCTACTCCGGACCTCCAAAATCACTTCCGACCGCACTCCTAAGTCACAAATCACCTCCCGAAGCTAAACGAATCACTGGAATTTACATCCGATCCTTCTAACTAATAAGTCAACGTTCGGTTGACTTTTCCAAACCAAACCTTCCTTAAAGAGACTAAGTGTCTCATTTCCTATCCAAACCAATTCAATTCAACTCTAACTCACCCGTTGCTGATAATAAAACATGAAAGAGCAATAAATGGGGGAAACGGGGCTGTAATACATGAGACGACGGGTCGGGTCATCACAAACATTGACATCCTCAAATTGTGGTTGGCTAGGTTGTTGATGTTCTACTCTGACCTCCCCAATTAACACCTCAAATTCATGCTCTTCTTGGCTACTATCCTCAATATTGGCTTGTTGAGCATTAAAAGCTCCAACCACTTGACTCAATTGAGCCTCCAACTTGCGAATAGTTGCCTCTTGCCTTTCTATGTGCAATTGTTTCTCATTGTTTTGTTCCAGAAGGCACTTTAGCATATCCTTGATCTCCTTCAAGTCCGCATTCCCAGGTTCTTTGTTCCTATTAACTTCACAAGAAAAGGTAGAACCATCATAGTAAGGGGTTGGGGAAAAATAAGAAATATAAGCACAACCATGAAGGTAACCATTTTTACCACCACACACATTCCACAAATAAGATTGAGTTGGTGCACATAACTCGCTCTTAGGAACGTTTTGAAAATTTTGCCACGGATGGTTTCCTTTACAATATGTATGGAGATCAATAGTAGAATTATCTACACCTAAATTTCCATAATTCCAAGATGCCATGTTTCTCAAATCGATAGTTAAAAAAAATACAAAAAAAAAAAGAAAACAAAATAAAAGTTCAAACTCGTAACCTAGCAATATATACAGCTACAACTACACTGTTAGTTCCCCGGCAACGGCGCCAAAATTTGATCACGCCCAACTCTAGTCCTAAAAAGGATAAGCGGTCGCTGCAAATATAATCCGGTCTAAAAGTCCGGAGTTGAATCCCACAGAGAACTAAGGTTTCGCTGTAATTGTTCAATATCGCAAAGAAGACAAGTTTGAACAATTTCTAAATTATAATATTAAGATTTTTATATCTAACTAATTAACCAACAAATATTCTATAACGGTAAAATTATCAACTAACGAGACAAAGGTTTGGAGACTAAATTAAGGTGGTCTAGAGCTATATTTCCCAATTGTTGATTTCATTAATTGTATGTTTCTTATAGCTTTGACTTAGTTGCCTCTATCAATCATGAACTCTCCAGCTATCATAAATCTCTCTCAAGCAATTATGATAATTTACTAGACGCACTCTCTCAAGCTACGCTAGCTAGATTCACATTACAGTACACTTAGATCGCACCTGAGGTATCGTTATCTCTAATCCAACCTCTAAACGCTCGGTTATGACTCTCGCCTATACTCCGGGAGTGATGTTGTTCAAACAACTACCTAAATATGCACTCTCTCTCAAGCAGATACATAATGAATAAGAACGGCTAGTTGAGGATCCTTTCAATTAACCAAAATCAAAACGTAGTTGAACAAATAGAGATTAACAACTAACTCAAAATTATATTAATATAACAACCAATTCATCCCCAAAAGGTTCCATCAAAACCCTAGAAAACGAATTAGCTATTCATAATAGTATGTAAACTACAATACTAAAAATCATAACCAACAATGAAAAAATAGTAAGAAGAAGGAAAAACTCGTTGAAGAATTCCGCGCCTTGCTCCTATTGTGTTCTTGACTCCTTAGGTCGAATCTCCGGTCTCCTTAGCCTCCTTAGGTCTAAATTATGTCAAAAGTGTGTTAAAAATATGTCTCCTCCTTCTTGGTCGGCTTCCTTCGTTTAATATAGGGTTTAGGGCTTAAAATCCCGTGTTTTGCACTTTGGTCCCTGAAGTTTACGCGTCCTGCCGCGGTCCTACCGCGGTTACGCCAGGACCGCGGCCAGAGTGGCCTTCAGAATCTGCAGCAGTGTTCTGCCACGGTCCTACCGCGGTTACGCCCGGACAGCGGCAGACCAGCTTCAGTTCTGGTTTTGTCTCTTCGCTTGGTGCACTTTGTGGATATTGTATCATTGGCCTCCTTTTCCCCGTAATTGATCCCAAAAGTACTCCACAGACTTCTTTTATTGGATATAGCCTGCAAAACATGAAAAGCACTAATCAGAGCATCTTGTTATCACTTTTTACCGTAAAAACTATACAAAAATGTGGTTCTTTAGAGCCTAATTATAGTCTAATTTACCTATTATCAGCAACCCTCGTGCAACATATCATCTTTCTCTTACAAGATTCATGCTTTCTATTATTTCTTTTTCCTATTTGCAAATTTCATTGCTAATTGCTTGTCCTTTGATTGTTCTGAGTCTAGAGTCGGTTTAAACTTAGATCTATTACGGGCTATTCAAAACATTAGAAATATTATGGGCTTTAAATTACAAATATTTTGATGCTGCTCGTTAGTTGCACAACACTTGCTAGTTGCTAGAGCTAGCTGATATGTCTCTACTCTACCGGGTTTCCTGAGTTGACTATCGGATCGTGTTGGAGAAAGAGAAAAACAATTGGAACATGCATGGTTTTGAAAACTTTTCAAGATTTAATGTGGGATCACAAACAACAACCGGTGGCGGATCCAGGATTTATAGGTTGTGGGTGCTTCACTAATTTTAGTTTAAATTCTAGATGGCTAAACGTGGTCATAGTGGGTGCTCATGGTTAGTTATTGAAGTTTTTAGGTATTATTTATGAATATATTATATAATTTGGCCAAAGCCAATGGGTGCTTCAGCACCCATATGTCGAAAGGTGGATCCGCCATTGACAACAACAACAACAACAACAACAACAACAACGACCCAGTGAAATCTCACTAATGGGGTCTGGGGAGGGTAGTGTTTATGCAGAGAGGCTGTTTCCGAAAGACCCTCGGCTCAAGAGGACAAAAAGACAAAAGGAGACAATATCAGTATCACCCTAGAAATCATAAAAAAAATAGGAACAACATGAAATCCAGAAGAAAGATACACAGCAAAAGCGATAGCTAGTAAAATACGAAGTAGTAAAATACGACATTGCCACTAGCTATCTTAGACGAAAACAATGCGGGATCACAAAGTAAAACTGAAAGTTTTACGCAATGAGTATCTCTGGTTCACTTTTTAATGTCTGGTCGCTGCTGCCTTTCCTAATTTTTATATTCATATGAAAATTTGTCATGCAAATTGATATATCGAAATCATACTGATACTGTATCGAAATCGTACCGAACCAAATAAGAAATACCAAATTGTATCGAACTACTTTGGCACGATATTTGGTATATACAATTGATAAATCGAATACCGAAGTACCGAATCGTAATTCTTAAATACCGAACGCCCGCCCCTAATATTTACGGAGATCGTATGATGATGATAATAATCAGAGAGCCATATAAAATGACGGAATGAAGAAAAAAGAAGAGAGAATACTATAAAATAAGATAAATTATACCTAACATGTTTAGTTTCACACTCATATGAGCACAAACACATTAACACAACACATATTATTGTACATGTACAGAGAGAGATAATTCGATGAAACATACAACTATAGTTTATAAGCATAAACCTCGATCACTCTGATATAAAGGCTATATCCAATTCGGAGAATCAAGACATTATCTTAAAATTATACGAGCTTACTTATTTACTATTTTGGAGGCTTAAATCTTATTATTCATGTTGTGTTGTGTATATTATTTATCATACTAACTTGAAAATTGAAATATTTATAAGCTGAATCTTTTACTAATGCCTCATTGCATTTGCCTATTTGTATAATAAGTAATGAGTTGCCATGTCAAGACCCTCGAAGAGTTTATTATAAACATAGGAACCAGTAGAAACCTATTTAAAAGAGTTTCTTTTTTACCAACATTAATGTAATACTTGCACTCAATGTTTACACTAAATAAAATAATTTAATTTTAGTATTAAAAAATTAAAGTGTGAATACATATTATTAACCATGATTAAATATAAAGAAGGGCATGAAATATATATGTTTTCTATTTGTTGGTTTGGTATAAATATTGTGCAAATAGTAATATTTTACCTTTGCATGCATCAACTTTTAAAAAAAAGTTATGACTGTTCGAGGGACGTCACTTTTAAATCCACTCTTTTAATTCCATATTTTGATTATTTGTTGACTAATTCAAATTATAGCTAATTTTAAGATGAACTTATACATCGAATGATTTGTTAATTAACAAGAAGAAATATGGTCACTTGTAGCATTAATGTGAATTTCTCACATATGGATGTAGGTTTTTTTATTTTTAAATTACCTCCCAATTTAGGAGGATCTATAGTATTTTCACACTTATCGAGGACCTAAAATACTTTACCAGCTGAGCAAACCTCGCTCGTGGCATATGGATGTAGGTTCATTCTCAATATCTCGGTATCTTCTCTTTTCATAGGCACCCTATGTACAGGAAAAAACTTTAAAAGAATAAAAAACGAAAAAGTTACATATATTGAAAATTAGAAAGAAAAAGCATACAGAGAAATGGGAATGAGAAACGTTGAGCGTGTCAGAGCAACTCATTTGTACTCAAATAAATTTTTAATATTTTCCTTCTACTACTAATATATCTCCGAAAAAGAAAACAATTTGTTACGCTGTCGTGGATATATAAATATAAATGCGTGGATAAAATACTGAACCACGACACTGAAAATAATTTTTGAGGGAGAAAACCTTAGCCGAAGCCTTATCAGTAATCACACATTTTTGTATATCCGTTCATTCATTTATTCCCCACTGGCTTTGATTTCAATTACCTCTCAGCCACTCGCTCCTTTTTTCGCCCTTTCACTCCTATCTTTGTCTCTCACTGCAAAAAACACAAACTAACACTTCTAAGCCAATTTCTTATGCAAGAACAAGGTCACTACCACTTAAAGGTAATCACTTTTCAGCTCCCTATAAACAAATACAATAAATTCCATCTGGGTTCTATTCTTCATTTAAAAAAGATGAGCTTTTTTAAGTTCCTTGTTTAATTACTGAAAAAGTTCCAATTTTTAATTAGTTCTCATAATTCTTCTTATTGAATTCTAAATTTTACCATAGACCCAGGTTCTTGATTTTTGAATATTGGAGGTAAATATACAAAGAGATAAGAGAAGAGTTTTCGGAATTGAGTTTTTTAGTTGCTGCATTGTTAGGCTGGAAATTGAGTTATTTTTGTACAAAAAGATAAACTTTTTCTAAGTTTCTTGTTTAATTACCGAGAAAAGTTCCAATCTTTAGTGTAATGCTCATTGTTCTTCTTATTGAATTGTAAATTTTACTGTGTACTCAGGTTCTTGAATTTTGAATTTTGGAGATATATGCAAAGAGATAAGAGAAGAATTTTGGGAATTGAGCTTTTTGTTAGGTCTATTATGATTGCTCTTTAAGTTAAGTATAAAGAGTAATGACTAGTATGGCTTCCCTAGTGAGTTTGGGGAGTGTTTGTGGATGTTCTTCTGGTGGACAGTTTGAAGGGTCATTCTCACTAGTTAGGAGGGTTTCTTTAGCCAACAACTTTAGAAACTTTAATAGAATTTGGGTTGGGAAAAGATGGCGTTATGTCTCTGTCTGTAGATACTCTGTTACCACGGATTTCGTTGCTTCTGATCAGGGGACATCAATTTCCCTTGATTCCTCATCCAGGAGTAATAAGGAGGATGATCTCTTGCTTAAGCCGTCCCCAAAACCACAGTTAAAACCTGGACCTAAACCCGGGCCTGCTTTAGGAATGGGTCCAGTCAGTAGGAATGGACCGGTCAGTAGCTCTGGTTCTGATGATGAAAAGGGAAAACCTAATGAAGAAGAGAGAAGCAAGGTCATTGAGTCACTTGGAGAGGCATTAGAGAAAGCGGAGAAGCTAGAAACTAACAGAAAAGCAAATGTGTTGGTTAATAATAAGTCGTCTGCCAATGCACGTACTGCACAAAGAAATAGCAAGCCAGTTGATTCTGATGATTCTTCCAACAGGAAGTCCAAAACTTTGAAGAGTGTCTGGAAAAAAGGGAATCCAGTTGCTGCTATACAAAAAGTTGTAAAACCACCACCCCCTAAACAGGAACCAGTGGCTGATAGTGGAATTAGGAAGAGTGAGTCTCAAACTGTTGCCCCGCTAAAACCCCCTCAGCCACCCCAGAAGGTTCAACCACAATTACAAGCAAGACCCTCTGTAGCTCCTCCTCCTCCTGTTATCAAGAAACCGGTGATATTAAAGGATGTCGGTGCGGCAGCAAAGCCCCCACCCACTGAGGGAATTGAATCAGCTGGAAAGACCAAAGAACGCAAGACAATATTGGTCGACAAGTTTGCTTCCAAGAAACCAGCTGTTGATCCTATGATTGCTCAGGCTGTTTTAGCTCCTCCAAAACCTGGAAAGAGCCCACCTCCTGGTAGATTCAGGGAGGAGTTCCGGAAAAAGGGTGGTGCTTTTGGAGGACAAAGAAGGCGTATGGTTGATGATGGGATTCCTGACGAGGAAGCATCAGAGCTTGATGTTTCGATTCCTGGTGCAGCAGCAAGGAAGGGAAGAAAGTGGACAAAGGCAAGTCGCAAGGCAGCCCGACTTAGGGCTGCTAAAGAGTCTGCACCTGTCAAAGTAGAAATTCTAGAGGTTGGTGAAGAAGGCATGCCGACTGAGGAGTTGGCCTACAACTTAGCTACTAGTGAAGGTGAAATCCTTGGTCTTCTATACTCAAAAGGAATCAAGCCTGATGGTGTGCAAACTCTCAGTAATGACATGGTGAAGATGGTTTGTAAAGAATATGAAGTGGAAGTTATTGATGCTGTCACCGTTAAAGTGGAAGAGATGGCAAGAAAGAAGGAAATTTTCGATGAAGATGACTTGGACAAATTACAAGATAGACCCCCTGTCATAACTATAATGGGTCATGTTGATCATGGAAAGGTGACCAATAGAACTTCTTATTATGTACTTGTTAATGCACATATTTACGATTAAATGCTGCTTAGTAAGCTCCAGCTGACATGTGTTTCTGGGTTGTTCTTTGACAGACTACTCTCTTGGACCATATACGCAAGACCAAGGTAGAGGCAAAGCTCCTTTTTACTATTGGCAAATTACTGATGTTTATAATTTGCTAGTGGTATGGTAATTGTCTGAGAACACTGTGACTTTGGTTGGAAACTGAATACTAACTAGTAGATATTGTAGGTGGCGGCATCCGAAGCTGGTGGGATTACTCAAGGAATAGGGGCATATAAGGTGCAAGTTCCTATTGACACCAAGCCGCAGATATGTGTTTTTCTTGATACACCTGGACACGAGGTACTCAATACAGTTTTAATGCTTAACTTTAGCAGAAGTCAACTATTTCTGATCTCTATGTCCTAAAATCAGTTTTTTCATTCTTTTTTTGACATCAAATCGACTTTTTCCACAGGCGTTTGGGGCAATGAGAGCTCGTGGAGCAAGAGTGACAGACATTGCTATCATTGTAGTAGCTGCTGATGACGGTATTCGGCCTCAGACAAATGAGGCCATAGCACATGCCAAGGCAGCCGGCGTTCCAATTGTGATTGCCATAAATAAGGTCTTATTCGCATAGATGTACCTAGTCTCACTTTTTCTCGTACTCTTTGTTTTAAATTTTATCAATTGATTCCTTGCCTCCATCTGATTCTAGATTGATAAGGATGGAGCAAATCCTGAGCGAGTCATGCAAGAACTTTCCTCCATTGGTTTGATGCCGGAAGATTGGGGCGGTGACGTTCCAATGGTTCAGGTAGTCAAACTGCAAACTATGTGGCAGCACCTTTCTGCTTATATCAGCATTCATCAATTTCTTTTTGATTGAACAGATCAGTGCTCTTAAAGGAGAGAATATAGACGATTTGCTGGAAACTGTCATGCTTGTTGCGGAGGTAAGATGATATTGTGACCGTCTGTTTTCTTTGATGCTTTTCTAGGTTGTTCTACAGTACTCTTAGAATCCAATCTTATATGTCTCGACCACTGCTGGTGTCAAGACATGTTGACACAGATACCATGTTAGGATATGTCTTTTTTTAGGAGATTCTTTTGCATGTTTTTGTGCTTGCACATTCTGCATACTTGTCCTATTACTCCCTCCGTTCCATTTTATGTGCTTTAATTTGACTAAATACACAGTTTAAGAACGTAAAGAAGACCTTTGAATTTATGGTGTGTATAACATGCCAAAAATACCTTTGATTCTTGTGGTCTTAAAAATGTCATGTCATTCCTATGAGAAGTATCATTAAGGGTAAAATGGAAATATTGGAATTAAAAACTTACTACATATAAAAAGGTGGCATTCATTTTGAAAAAGACTAAAAAGAGAAGTAAGACACATTTGAAATAGAGGGCTGGAAGGTCAAAATATAAACATTTTTTACCTGAAAATTATCCTCCATTTTCTGATCTATCTGCCTTAACTTTGTCTTAAACGTTAGTAACCGGAAGAGAAAAAGAATAATAACATTATATCCCAAGAGTTATGGGTCTTATTTAATGTTCTTTTTCCTGTGCTGTAGTTGCAAGAGTTGAAGGCTAATCCTCAAAGAAATGCCAAGGGGACTGTGATTGAGGCAGGTCTCGATAAATCTAAAGGACCTGTAGCAACGTTCATTGTGCAGAATGGTACACTGAAAGGAGGAGACGTAGTAGTTTGTGGTGAAGCTTATGGAAAGGTTAGCAGATAAGAACCTTAAAAGAATTTGGGAATTGTTTTTTATTTGATTCATTGTCGGTTTTCTCCCTACGCTTGATTCTACGGGTTAAAAAGAAACTCATAGTCAAGTCCTACCTATGTTGTCAGCAGTGAGACTGTTGCTTAATTTGATCACTTTCTAGAATTTTCCCAATTTAAAATAATACGTGTTTTACATATTTCAAGGTGCGGGCTCTCTTTGATGATAAGGGAAAACGTGTTGATGAAGCCGGACCCTCCATACCTGTGCAGGTATGTTTCTTTTTTATTGTGTCTTCTTTTCTTCCCATCTACTTGTAGCCAATAAAATGTCATCAGCTGCAATTTGTACTATATTTCTTCTGTTAATGGTAAATTACGACCGAACAAAATCCTACTCCCTCCGTTTCATATTAAATGAGATACTTTCCTTTTTAGTCTGTTCCAAAATAAATGACACATTTCTAAATTTGGAAATAATTCAACTTTAAACTCTTCATTTTACCCTTTTTGCCGTTAATGAGAAGCTTTTATAGCCACAAAAATGGCATGGCCCCACAAACCTTTTACCCCTTAAGCTTTTAAGACCACAACTTTCAAAAGTCTTCTTCTTTTTTCTTAAACTCCGTGCCGAGTCAAACTACCTCAAACAATATGAAACGGAGGGAGTATTAGATTCAAGGACTGACTATGGGTCGTTAAGTGGCCAATCCGTTTGAGTCATAGCACCCCTTTTATTTGCCCTCTCCCCATGGGATTAAAAATGTCTTAGCCAAGTATCTTACGAAAAGAAATTTAACGAAAGTGACAATCTTTTAGCCAAGTGTCTTACCAAAAGAAAGCTAGTTCTATTGACCGTATTCCACAACTTGTGACTTATATACATAGCAAAAAACTTGACTGAACACAACATCTCTGACTAGCTTTTAAAGGTTACTCTGTATGTTATCCCCCAACATTAATAAAATTAGTTACGTTATCAGAAAAGAGGGCACTTGCTCTGTCTTTGTATGTGCATATTTTATATATGTGTGTCTGCTTTTATTCTCAACATGATTAGTCAATCCACAGGTGATTGGATTGAACAATGTCCCAGTTGCTGGTGACGAGTTTGAGGTTGTTGGGTCCCTTGATATTGCTCGTGAAAAAGCCGAAGCACGAGAGGATTCCTTGCGAACTGAGCGTTTATCAGCAAAGGCCGGAGATGGGAAAATTACACTCTCTTCTTTTGCTTCTGCTGTTTCAGGAGGAACTGGTCTAGACTTGCACCAACTAAATATTATTCTGAAAGTTGATCTTCAGGTATGTATATATTTATTCCTCTAGAAAGGCTGAAAAGCTTTATCAAGAAATCTATTTGCTACTAAGAGAGATATGGCGTAGATCAGGTTGTATATATGGTTCTGGGTATTTCAATAATTTATGTGAATGAATACTATTTTGAAATTCTCAGCTCAGTTAACTTTCTGGGGGCCTTCAACTAATAAAGTTATATTATGATAAGAGTCTAAATTAGAACTTTAAGAAGAGTGCAACTTCTTTTAGTTTCTTTTGGTTCGTCTTTCACTCACTTGATAGTGACATTGATTTAAATGCTGACTCTTGGCAATAGTGCTAGCCAAGAAAATAAAATGGAATTTCTAATTGCCGCAATGCTCCATATTTCATCTCTCTGTTTTTTTTACGTAGCCGTAAGATGTCAAAAGACAATAATGTAGAATTTTCATTCCAGTTGCCGGATGCAATATGTAACTGGTAATGATAATCATTATTAGGCTGTATTTCTTTTGTGAGGTTTTTAGCAGTTTATATGCATACATTTAGCTGGACTTATTTTTTGATTGGTACCTATCTGTTGCTGACAGCTTTACGGTTTAATTTTTTTTGGATCATATCTCAATATATTTCAACCATTGAACACCTTTGAATGCAACAATGTGAGATCTTATAGAAGAAAATCTAAATTATTATCTTTCCCTTTTTTGGCTCCACAAAGAATAATCAACAGTTCAGTGAATTATTTTTGGCTTGCTATACCTATATCCCCTCATCACAAATGTGTAATACTTTTGATGATCATTCATTAAGATGGCGTTACCTTGCTACCTACTAACTACAATACCCTAAATCATGCATAGGGATCGATTGAGGCGGTCAGACAAGCTCTTCAGGTTCTTCCACAGGATAATGTCACTTTGAAGTTCCTACTGCAAGCTACTGGTGATGTGAACGCCAGTGATGTTGATCTTGCTGTAGCAAGTAAAGCTATTATTTTCGGCTTTAATGTTAAAACTCCGGGTTCTGTCAAGAGCTATGCAGACAATAAAGGTGTTGAGATCCGACTATACAGAGTTATATATGAGCTTATTGACGATGTGCGAAAAGCAATGGAGGGACTTTTGGAATCAGTTGAGGTAAACATTCATAATGTTTACGTCATCATGTGACGTTTTCTGAGTGCATTGGGTGGGTGGAGTTTTGGTAGATCAGTCACTTTCACAGTTACAGAGTTTAATCTCATAACTTTAATTGAATTTTAATGATATTTAAATAAATTGTTGCTTTCTTTTGAAAAAAAGAAGAAGCTGGAGAACTTATTATTCTGATCTCTTCATCATATGATGTTAAATTTGCTTTGTTTTTCTTTCCGAAATTTCCTGAGGTTGTTGGGTTGAGGGGAAGGGATGAACTGTAGATTACATTAACTTGTAGAGTTTCAAGTGTTTAATCTCATGACTTCGCTGGAGTATATATATTTTTTTGAATAATTGGAGTTTTTGATGGAAAGTAACATAGCTACCAAGCCTTTTTGTGGCAAAATGTTATCTTGTTTTTTCCTGTGGAAAAATGTTATCATGTTTTCTGTTGAAAATCACTCCCTTTGTATATCTGCAGGAACAAGTGCCAATTGGTTCAGCAGAAGTACGTGCTGTGTTCAGCAGTGGTAGTGGTCGTGTTGCTGGATGCATGGTAACAGAGGGAAAAGTAGTGGAAGACTGTGGTATTCGTGTCGTTAGGAAAGGCAAAGAAGTTCATGTTGGTGTGCTTGAATCTTTAAGACGGGTGAAGGAAGCTGTGAAAGAGGTATACAGTCAAACACTCTTCGTCTTTAGATAATCAAGGGAAAAGGAATACTATATTTTCAGTTTTCCTATATCAAGAAAGAAAGAGAAAATGATAAAAGAAAAAGGGAAAAATGTTTTTGGTGTGCTCTCAAGCAACTTATTTTGAGTTAATTAAGGCAAGAATGAATGGTGAACCTACTAGCACTTTCTGCTGACTTTCTGTTTTAAAGTGTAGTTAGACCATCGTTTCTTGTCTTTGACTAAAAATATAGAAGTTACAGGTGGAAGTGGCACTGAGCCTGTCTTTAACTGCTTCATTCATGATTAAATTTTGTGTAAGCTGCTTAATCAACGTGGAGCTCATTCGATTATGCATTAGAAATAAAGGATTCTGCATCTGGAATTTCTTCCTTTGTGTGCACTGTCAGTTATTCCAGTCAAATAGGTCTTTCTCCCTTGAGATTAGGTATACTTTGAAAATCAGCATTGTATATAAAAGCTGGTATAGATACAAAGATGTTATCAACATATTAAGGAGAGGTCCTTTGTTGGATTAATGCGGGATGTATTATTCCAATTCTTCGTTAAGAAGGATCAATAAATTTAACAACCTTGAAACCGGAATCCTAAGCTTCTATTTCGTATAAATTCCATATTGTCGCTGAAATTCAGGCTGTGTATATATCTTTAAACAGTATCCAAAAGATTCTTTGGTCGGTTGTCAATGTACTACCATTTGCCATTTTCGACAGGTTAACGCCGGACTGGAGTGTGGAATTGGGGTTGACGGGTTCGATGACTGGGAGGTGGGTGATATTCTGGAGGCTTTCAACTCAGTTCAGAAAAGACGAACACTTGAGGAGGCTTCAGCCTCAATGGCAGCAGCACTTGAAGAAGTGGGGATAAGCCTATAAGGAAAGCAGAGGCACATAACTTAATAACTTTTTTTGTGCCAGTTGTAGTTGGGGTTGTACGACGACGCTCCTCTCCTCATGCTTGGGTTTAATCAATTGTTAAAAGGAGTGGCAATGATCAGCGGGTAAGTTTTGCTGATTGCTTGTCAAACATACTTGATGCCGAAGAAGGTGAGCTGCAGAGAAATGGCCGTTGTTGTGTGCTGTTGCAATGTATATAGTAATACATATCATTTGAGTTCCTCTTTGTAAAGGGCGACAAGTCCATCATTTGTTTGAATTTCTCAAAATGAATGATGATAACACATGTAGTCACAGTAGCATGGAGAAAAGAAGTTCCAAAATTGAAAATCTTAGGATGCTCTAGGTTAGATTCGTCATTTTGTAAACTCAATATCATTCAATTGGAAATGAAATTCAGAAAACGAGGGAACAAATAGTTCTACTGTTTCCATTACATGGTATATGCCTTGCAGTTCAACAATGTAATTGATTCACTATCTACTCGTTGTCACTGTGTGTAAGTGGCGAATCGGAAAAATCAAGTACAAAACTGCTTGGGAGTTCTCAATGGATGTCATCTGCATTCAGAGGTTTCAGCAAGTTTAATTCCTTTCATTTTGTTGATTGTCACTTTTTTATTGTTGTCTAACTTTTAAAATTTCTGCAATTGGTGGAAAGCTTTCATGGACTGAAAAGGAAAATCTAGGGTTTCAAATCTACACTTTCAATCCTGGGCAGGCTTTGTTATGGTTAGCAATTGAGCGGTCTTGGGCGTGCTACTAATAGAATTTGATGTTAACCAGGTAATGTCCTTTTGATATATGTGAGTTTAGCCTAAAATGAAAAGAAGAACATCTTAGTTTAGCTAAATTAAAGCTTTGGAAGACAGTAACTTAGCTCTTTGCTTATGGTATTTGACTATATTCAATTCTGCTGTTAGTAAATTTTTCACATTTTTATTTATTGCACTATCTTGAGCCGAGGGTCTATTGGAAATAGCCTCTCTATCCGCACAAAGGTCTGTGTACTCACTGCCCTCCCCATATCCCACTTGTGGGATTACACTGGGTATGTTGTTACTTGTTGCAAGTTATTGCACACTGTTTTAAGAGTTATATTCTACTAACTGTTATATTCTAGAGTGATATAGGAGTAAGGGTGTTCATTGCAGATTAGTTTCACATTTTCTGCTTTAAGTTACAAGTCATGATGCTTGAAATATAAAGTTGCTCGAGTTTTACTGGTTTCAGTCATATTTGTCAACCACATTACCTTCTTCCTTCTTTCATTATCTGCTTGGTTCATTATTTACCCTTCTCCTTGCAGAACAGAACAGAACAGAACAGAAAGTTTTTCCTTTTATTCATCATTAGGTAACGAAATTAAAGTTCCTTTTTACATAGAAGCTGATCAGCTCATTCACCCTGTGGTGAAGAGGGGGCCGAATTTTCTTAAAAACTGACTCATCACTGCCAATAAAATGTAGGCTGTGAATAGTAGAGGTCACAACAGGGAAAAATGGAAAAGGAAAAAAAAGAAGGAAGTTCCTGCTACTTTTAGCAGGAAAACAGCTCCTAGTTTATAATTCTACCCGAGAATTCTCCGGGTTGAAAATGCACTGAGACGCTTATTATAGGCAGTGGCAACGCACAAACATTATGTGGAGAGAGAACTTTTTTATGGTATATCTCTTTTTCCTGTTTTCGCTCCACAGAAGATGAAACAGTTGATACATAAGCTTCTTCCTCATTAATGGTGTCCAAACTTTTTATTAGCGGACCCTTCACCACAGGGATAAACTTTGGTGGAGCAACTTCTGTTGAGAACCTCATTTTAGGAGTCTTTGCCATTGTTGTAAAAAAACCAGAGAGAAACATGAAGATGGTTCAGGTTGAAGGGGGAAACGGAGAAAAGAAATGAAGATCTTAAGAGGTAAATTGCTTGCAGACAAGAATAAAACTAGGTTTGGCGAATTTATAGGAATGCAATGTCCTTGTATCGTGTCGAATACGTTGTTTCTTTAATCGTAAATCATAAACCATCAAATTACAGCCCCCCCTCCTTTGTCTATTAATTACAGGGAGATGTCTTGTTTAGATAAGATAGTGAAGACCTCATGCATGTCTATTTCAAAAGGGGTCTAAAATCTTGAAAAGATTTCCTCCAAAACTCGGTCAATTCCCCACACTGAATAAAGAGGTCTGGTTTTTAAAGAAGTATTGACAACTGAGAACCTCTTTTTACCTCCCTTAGTGGGCTTATCAACTTGACTTTGTAAGAAACTGGCCAAGCCTGTACACGGTCTTCCAACTCTTCCCCAGTAATTTACTTAGGTTCTGGAGGCTAAGAGCTAAGCTTGTAGGAGCTTAAATTGATAGAAAGAATGAGTAAATAAATATTGACTCTTTTCATGTAGTTTAAGGAGACTCAGTCCGTTTCCGTACAACTACTTTACCTGCTTAGTGGAACAAAAGAAGAAAGAATAGTAAACAAAAAAGTGTAATATTGCAGTAGGTCAAATGCTGCTGCTAATAACATTCTGATGTGGTTGAAATCCTATCTTTAATTCCAACGTCAGACTTATCCAGGAGGAGGGGTCCAAAGATCTCAATCATCTGTAAATTTCAAAAGAAAGTTGTGTCCCGTTTTGTTTTGTCGACTTTCAATAGTAGCTAAGAGCCACTTTCGGTTAATTTACATAAGGACATTCCAAAATAATTGCAGTTTCTCTGAGCTTCTGAGCACCAGCAGCCGCGGATTTAGGATTTCTTGAATATGGGTGCACCATTAAAAAAGTAGGAAAAAAAACTATTAAGTGGGGATTGATCCATGTTCCTCTAGGTGAAAATTCCAATATTCAACCAAGTGCACCATTTAACCTTTTTGGGGCATGGGTGCCAACACATAATATTAGACAAATTCCAAAAAATATGTGCATAAAATATCTAGTTTGGCGGAAAGACCATGGGTTCACGTGCCCCATGATTTGGGCTATACATCCGCCCCTGGTCATCAAAGGCAGATCCAGGATTTGAAGAGGATGAGTACATTATTATAAACAGACGGATCTAGAATTTGAATTTGATATTAAGCCTTTAGCTTATTGAAATATTACACTATTGAAATCATAGGTTTTAATTATTTTTAAAGACAATTATCGTGCTTTTTCAAAAATATATCTATATTGCATGTTGAAAATTAGTTAGTAGAACTCGTTAATGGACTCTATACTACATCTTCTGCTACTAGTTTTAGTATAAGATATTTCGTTTAATTATATAAAATTTTGTTTTTATAAAAGGAGAATAGGGATTTCAATATGGTTGGGGATTTTAAAAATAAACCAAATAAAGAAAGAAAATAATAAAAAGAAAAAAGTACTTAATCAAAAAGCAAGGTGGACAAAGAAATTAAATCCTTGACCTCACTTGGTGCAACCATTAATCATTATATCATAGGACTTTTTGAGTTTGGGTGGGCACACATATATTTATACTTATTATTTTAAAATAATATATAACATTACCAATTTACCATACATGGTTCACGGAGGAGAGCATGAGTGCACGTGAACCCGCTTCCATCCTCTTTAGATACGCCCATGAGCGTCATAGCCCGCATCTTTCATTAAGTCCTTTTTCTTGTGCAATTGAAAAAGCAGAAGGTGTACGTTAAAATTTAAGTCTATCAAACGTCAAATCTATCTGACGCAAATTAAAATGCCGAATTCTCGGTTAGATGACTGCTTGGTTACGTAATTCAATACTCCGAAATGAATCACAAGCATGACCATGAATAGTTAGTTGAGACCTAGCTACCGCGTAGTTTCAGTATTGGCACATGCCGTATACTGCTAAAAAAAGTTCAAGTGGCGACACACGCTTTCTGTGGACCAATAGAATTGATAATGTACTTATGTACAAAGTGGAAAAGCACAACGCTAGCTGGTACGATAGATGCACCAAATATATATGTGCAGTTGATACGTAAAGAAGGAACAAAATAAGGCTTGTGATATATAGTGCTATACTATACCCACGAAGAAGCATTTCTGTGAAAAAATGGATTTCAAGAAGCAGTTCTGGCTCTATGCACTCCTTCAAATAAACTTCACTAGCAAACCAGAAAACGAAACAACAATAACAACAATAAATTCAGTGGAATCCAACCGTGGGGTATGAGGAGGGTACTACCTTGTGTAGGTAGAAAAGTTTCCAGAAAAACCAGGAAATAAAGATCTTCAAAATTATTTTCTCTTGCTAACCAACTTACTATGCATCCTTCTGGAGTATAGTTACAAACAACTTAAAATTTGACGAGTTTACAAATTAATGACAAGGGCTTAAACTTGCTTACAACCAGAGTTTACACCAGAGAAAGAGGAAGCAAGCTTCTGGACCGAAAAACAACCCAAGCAAGAAGCGGTTCAACGGAAATTGCTACAACTGTGGGAAAGCTGGACACAAATCTACGGAGTGCCGTGCTCCGAAGAAAGACAAGAAGAAGGGTCAAGCAAACATGATTGAAAAGCATGAAGATGTTGATGACTTGTGTGCTATGCTTTCTGAATGCAACCTGGTGGGAAATACTAAGGAGTGGTGGATTGATTCTGGAGCCACTCGCCATGTTTGTGCTGTTAGGGAAGCTTTTGCAACATATGCTCCTGTTGGACCCGAAGAGACGCTTTCTGTGGGAAATGCTGCAACCGCCAAGATTGAAGAATGTGGGAAGATCTTTCTGAAAATGATTTCTGGCAAGATGGTGACTTTAAACAACGTCCTTCATGTTCCCGAGATTAGGAACAATTTAGTCTCTGCTGGACTTCTTATTAAGAACGGTTTTAAGTGTGTTTTTTGTATCCGATAAGGTTGTAATAAGTAAGAACAAAATGTTTGTAGGAAAATGTTACTTCACTGAGGGCCTTTTCAAGCTGAATGTAATGGTTGTTGAGAATAATAATAAAATTTCAGTTTTGTCTTACTTACTTGAGTCAAATGAGTTATGGCATATACGTTTGGGTCATGTCAATTATAAAACCTTGCGGAAAATGATTAACTTGGAAGTATTGCCTAAATTTGAATGCGACAAATCTAAATGTTAAATATATGTGGAATTTAAGTATGTTAAACATCCTTATAAGTCAGTTGAAAGGAATTCAAATCCTTTAGACTTAATTCACACAGATATTTGTGACATGAAGTCAATACCATCTCGCGGTGGAAAGAAGTATTTCATAACTTTTATTGACGATAGTACTCGATATTGCTATGTTTACTTACTTAATAGTAAAGATGAAGCAATAGACGCATTCAAGCAATACAAGAATGAAGTTGAAACGCAACTTAACAAGAAAATCAAAATGATAAGAAGTGATAGGGGTGGTGAATATGAATCTCCTTTTGAACAAATATGTTTAAAATATGGAATTATTCATCAAACAACGGCCCCTTACACGCCCCAA